GTGGGCATTATCCCGATTTGGCTTGAGCCCTCGCCGAGTCCGCGACAAAAACAAGTCTGCGCGGACATCCACGTCACGCGTGGGCGCACGCCAGATTTGAATGCTCGAAATGGGTACGGCAAACATTGCTACGATGCCCAACATCGGATCTGGTTCAAAACCGACAGCGGCCGCTGTTGGGCAGGCGACATTTCGTCTGAACTGGACAACGCCTGCGACGACACCGACAACGAATCCGGGTCAGTATGGGCAAGAAACGCTCTTGGCCTTCCTGACACTTCTCTCCGTACCCACTTGGTGGTTTCACAAACCCCAGGACCAAACAACCCTACCGCCTCTTCGGATGCCGACATTTACTTCCGCCGGGCTTCTGCTAGCTTCCGCCTGCGGAGGCGGCCTCGTTTTGCTTCCGCCTCCTTCCGCCGAGGACGGAATATCAACTCCTTCGATCCTCGAAGGCGAGGTCCTTCCTTGAACGCCTCATCTCGATCGCGCCGAATGTGGGGAAATAACAAGGTACCGATACCGCTACCCCCCGGACCTCTCCTGGGGTGCGTTCCGACCAGACTTTCGATGCGAATCCAGCGTTGGCGACGAGGGCCTCCCAGGAGGCACCAACAGGGGAAACGTGGGCGAAGGGTAAAAAGGTATGGGTACCTTTTTTTTATCCGCGGAGACTGGGGCGTCGGCCACGAGCCCTGCCCCGGCCCGGCCTTGTCCTCGAGCCACGGCTTCTCAAGGTCCCTGGGGTTGGAGGCCACCTGGCCGGGCGCTGCGGGGGAGGCGGCTCCTGCCGTCCGCCCTCTCGCTGCCCACCTTCCCAGGTGGGAGGAGGAGGAAGAGGAGGAGGAGGAGGAGGAGGAGGAGGAAGAGGAGGGGGAGGAGGAGGAGGAGGAGGAAGAGGCGGAGGGGGACGAGGAGGAGGAGGAGGAGGAGGAGGAGGAGGAGGAGGAGGGATCGGAGAGGAAGAGTCCCGCGCTGCTGTGTCTCATTGCGTGCCTCGCCTCTCTGAGGGGCGGCCGATGTGTCGTCGTCCTCGTCCCCGTCCTCGCCGATTTTCGCCGATCAGGGATCCCTGCAAGCTCCACGATCACATAGGTTTCCCCAGGGATCCCTGGGAACACCAAGATCTCATAGGTTTCCCCAGGGACCCCTGGAAACTGCAAGATCCCATAGGTTTCCCCAGGGATCCGTGGAAGCTGCAAGATCTCAAAGGTTTCCCCGTGGACCCCTGGAAGTTGATTTCCCCAGGGATCCCTGCAAGCTGCAAGATCTCATAGGTTTCCCCATGGACCGCGGGCTGAGGAGGGCACAGCCTGGCAGCTGAGGAGGAGGAGTGAGGAGGAAGAGGCTCATATTCAATCATACTCAAAGCTCATTCTGACTCGTACTCACTCGCTGGCATGAGGGTTCACTTGTCTTCGTCGGGCCTGTCGCCCACATGGGCGCGCTCTTAGAGGCAGACACACATGAACAGACGCCCACTACGGCATGATATAAAACATGAGATGCACATATGGGGAGCTTCACGCAGGGAGTAATTCTGCTCGGCGCTGAAGTCCATCGCCACCTCGGAACCCATCGTGCCGAAGTACACCGAGAGCATGTCGAACGGCTGCTTGTCGAAGGTGTAACATTTGTCTAGCTCGGGGCCGTGGCACTCGTCATCGCACGTGTGGCCGTCGAGGACAAGCAGGACGCTGAAGTCGCTGTGGCAGTCGTCGAATGCTGCTCCACCGTCTGCGGCCTGCGTCGCACTACTCGTTCGGGGTCTGCTGCTCGCCGTTCCTCATCGCGTTCTCGCTGCTGCGAGGGGTAACTGGAGGCGAGCGACTCAACCTTGATGCCAGAGACGTCTACCTCGTCCGCGAAAGTGACTCCGCGTCGTCGCCGTCGCCGTCGCGATCCCGCCCCGGGTCGGGAATCGCCAATGGCTGCCAGGCCCCTCCAGGTTCCAGCCGTCGGCTCCAGGGCTGCGCTCGCAGACCTGCGATCCTGCTCCGCGCCTCCAGTGGAGCTGGGAGGGTGAGGGCATGAAGTGAGCCTTGCAACCGAAGCCAATATCCCTCGCCCAGGAAAGTCAAGACGATCAGCGGCGTGTCGGCAGGTGACGCGGTATGCCGCGGGATGTCTGCAGTGGCGGTCCGCGTCCGCGTCGAAGCCCCGATTGCTCGCTATCCGAGTAGCAACAGCTGCGGGCCTGCCACGCCCGTCGGCCACTCCAAGGTTACGCCAGTGAGTGACCCCTATCGTGCCACGTCGGCTCGTGAGTCGGCTCGGACATTTCGATGAAGTGCCAGGCGTTCGACCGAGGGTCTGACTCGAGGATGATTTGTCGATGTGTTGCGGCTTCTAATCGAGCCATCCTGACCTCGAACTTCTGGGCTCGCCTGTCGTCGCGATTGCCTCCCGCAGTGCCGGGTCGTGACAGGGCTATCCATACGAGGTCTGGTAGTTGCGCCGATCCTCCTGTCCGAGAACCTCGTGAACATCGCAGGCGCGAGACGCGACAAAGCCGCGCCCGTTCAGTGCTCGCTGTCGCAAGTGCTTGTGATCACCGAACACCCACGCTGTTGGCGGTCTCTCCTCACCACCGCGATCCCCGCCGTCCCGGATCGCGAGGCGTCCTTGGGCGGGTCAGCGCTGCGGCTGCTCTCCACCTCGTCGGGCCGGTCGATGACGTGGCGAAGGCGATTGTGGGCGCCGTCGTCGCAGGCCTGCCTGGGGCCTCCTCGAAGCGGTCGCGCGGCAGCATCGGGTGCCCCGCGTGGCTCTCCTCCAGATGGTAACGCTGAGATCCTGGTGAGAGCTGCAGCGTGTACCCGCCGGGGCCGATCCTGTAGAACTGGTTGTTGCAGCAGTCCAACGGGCATCGCTGGGCCTTCAGCGAGCTGCGCCCCAACAGCGCGGGGGCGCCGGAATCGGGCAGCACTGGGGCCTCGTGGGTGGCCGGCCGGCCACCCTCCAACATCAGCTCGGTCATGTCGCCTGGCGGAGGCGGCCATGCGCTCGCTCCACTCGTCGCCCGTGAAGTTGCCGGGGCTCCCGGGGTCCACCAACAGCGCCTGGCCGTCCTTGCTCTTCATGCGGGTCTTGACCAGGTTGGAGTGCGCGGCAGTCGGCGACGCGGCCTCCAACTGCTAAATGCGCCACCAGGGGAACCAGTTGACGTTCGACGTCGGCGGTTTCGGCGTTGTCGCGGCCGCTGGCGGCCCCGGAGCCGCCTCCGCGGCCGAAGCTGCAGGCGCTGTAGCCGATGGCGCCGCCGCCTAGTCCTCCTCGGACTCGTCGTGCATGAGCAGCGTCTGCCAGGTGACCGTCGGCGCATGGTTGTCCAGCCCTCCCGCCCGCGCGGCGCTCGCCGCGACGAACCAGCTCGCGCCCGCGAGCGCGCCAGTGCGCGGCTGTCGCGATACCGGCGGGGCTCTAACCTCCATCGCGGCTCCCGAGTACGCTGCCGTCAAGTTGATATCTTCGCCCGCGGAGGTGGCGAAATGCTTGCCCTTGCGGCCGCCCTTCTTGCCCCGGCTGAGAGCAGCCCGCTCCAGGCACGCTGCAACGAGGTGCCTCTTGCTCTCGCGCTGGTGGCAATTCGTGATGTTGCCATCGCGCGGGTTCATGGGGCCTGGCGCGCCAGACAGGAACCTGTTGTGCTTGCCCCCGCCTTTGCCGCCTTTCATGAACCCTTTTCCGCCTGCAAGAGAAGAGCTCATGACCGCGCTGCCCTTGCCCTTGCCCATGCCCTTGCCCATGTCCTTGTCTTTGCCCATCCGCATTCTCAGGGAGTAGTTGACCCGCATGAACCTCGTTTGTCGCGGTCCTCGGTTGGCAAGGTGACGAAAGCGGCGCTTCATGAACATGTAGTCCTCGCGCAACGAGTCGTAGCCGTGGTTGGCGTAGCTGCCGAAAGACTGTTCCGCACTCGACGGGCTCGCCGCGCCGGCAGCGTAACTGGAATTACTGGAGGTCTGGCCCGCCAAGCATGTAGCCGTGGCACCCCAGCGGTTCACCGGCGGGCATCCACCGTGCCAATAACCCTCATCACCGCCGTCCGTGTAATGGTGGCCTCCGCGTCCGCCTCGAAGGCACTCGTGCACGTCGCGCGGTCCGCTGTGCGCGTGCTCCGCGATGCGGCCCTGCAGCCGCACCATGTTGATCACAGCCTTAAGTTGGTCGTCGGTCACCGGCAGTTGTCCACCCGTGGCCTGCAGGACGAGGGGCCGCACCGCACGAAGGACTCTCAGCGCTTCCAAGAAGATCCAGCGAGCACCGGGATGGGCATCTCCATGTTGACCGCCACCTGATTGCCAGCCGCTGCTCGAGCACGCACCGCCTCGAATCTTGTCGAGGCATCGTCAATGCTCTCGTGATCTTTCCTCTAATGTGACTTGTTTGATCACGAGCATCACCGAACTCTCGATGTCCATCTGGCCGAAGTGTCTGCGAAGTCCGTTGATCACCGTGTTCGCGCCGTTCTCGATCTGGTTCCCCTGAACGTCCCAGTGGCCATGCGAGATCGCCTCTTCCTGCACCTCGCGGCAGACGTCTCTCGCTGTGCCACCGAGCCTCCGAACGATAGCCGGCCCCGCTGCGCCTCGCGTGGCCCCGTCGCAACACACCACAAACATGTGTCTTACACCCACTCTCGGAATGATTATCCCTTCCGCTCCAGGTATGGCGTCCAGAATGGAGGGACCTTCGAGGTGCTCTGCTGGGCCAGCTGCGCCGCCGGCAGGTCCGGCGCTGGGTTCTCATGCCCGAAGCCGCCGATGGGCGCAGGCGTCTTGCTCTCGCCAACGCGCGCGCCAGTGTACGGGTCGTACGTCACTTCGTTGGCGCTGAAATTCTCGCTGCAAGCGAGGAGGACGATGGCCAGCATGTCACGCTTGCTCTTGTAGTACCTGCCTCCGTCCCTGGAGGCCCCCGTCGCGCATAACAACACTGTAGCACTCGAACTCGCTGAAGGAGTCCCTGTTAACGCCGTAGTTGGGCTCGTCCCCGTAAAGACTTAAGCCCAGACGAATACAAATGACCCATCTGCCTGTTACAATCTCGCACGGCTCTCATGCACGCTATCTCTGGCTCAAGAGAGCCCCGGATTTGGGCTCAACTCGGGCACCCGTGATTCATTCTACCTGCACTCTACCTGCGCTCTTCCACTGAAGAGGAGGAGGAGGAAGAGGAGGAGGAGAAGGAGGAGGAGGAGGAGGACCCGGAGGAGAAGCAAGGGGGAGGGGGGTTCGGGAAGCCTGGACCCAGAGCCCCGAAACAATTTTTGTAAACCATATTGGCCTCCAGAAATCTGGTGAGACGAGGCCAGGACGAGAATAGATCCGGGTGGGGATGCATCGAGAATCTCTGAGTCCTGGCGGCTCTGGAAGATGCCTCGGGCGCCGCGGTCTTCTCAGAGCCTTCCGGAACGCTCCGAGAGCGTCCCGGAACGCCCTGGAACAGATCTATCCTCGTGCTTGCCCCGCCCGATCCGGACCCCTTCCCAAGGGCCGGCTTTTCCTCCCGAGTCCTTTCTTCGACGGCCCAGCGGCCTGCCAGGGGCCCCCAGAGGCCGGGAGTGGCGAAGTGCCTTCTGCCATGCAGTCTTGTCACGGCTCGAGGGGGGTTTTGGGAGGGACACCCAGCGAAGAGCACAGTGCGCGAGGATCGCGCGCCGGGCGCAAGCACGCGCGCCTTCCCGCGCACCAGCACAAACAACGTCGACCAACATAACGAATGCTGCATGAATGTGTCCGCTTGCTCCCGTTACGGGCGAACGACATGTACATAATCACAAAGAACAGCATAAGCATAAAATCTCGGGGCTCCGCCCGAAGTTCTTGGATCCGCGCTGGACCCCCTTCCATGGCGTGCGGCGCGCGCCAGAGGCGGCGCCGCAGGCGTCGCCAGGGGGCCCCAAAGCGCCGATCCAAGAAATCCGTGCCGAGCTCCGAAAGTTTGTGTGTTATCCAATTTTTTATCTTTCGAATGTATACGGTTCTACCATCCTCACACAGGGATTCTACAGCCATCACTGCCGAGGCCACGCTAACGGCGATGTTGCGACGCCGAACTCGCGCAGAACAACTTGTAGGAACATACGAACATCGCTCTCCTACAATTGGGGTGGGCCACGAAACACCCACACCTGTAACACCGAAACCTACATCGCCGTTACCTACATTGCCGTTCGCGTGCAACTGTCATTTGGCATGCTCGAAATAAGTGGTGACAAGTTGGGTACGGTCGGGCCTGGGACATAATCCTTCAAGAGCATGAGACCTTCCGCCGGCCAAATCACACAAAACATCCAAGAGAACCCGCATCATGATGCACAAGAGCATCGAGCAAACATGAAGAACATTCGGGCACCCTCTCCGAGCCAACCTCGATCTTATACCTCGGTCCGACCGTACGGCTTCCACCATCGGGGAGACGTAAGACCCGGGTACGGGGGACTCGGAAATCCCCGACGAGGTCGTCAAAAAAATGACGAGGCCGAGCCTGCATTTTGACGAGGCCTCCCGCTGCAGACATCCCACGAAACTCCTCCTCGTCAAAATCCGAGGCGCGGTCGTCAAAAAACGATGGCGAACCCGAGTCCCGGCAAACCCGGGTCTTACGCTCCCCCGATCCACCAGCGAGTGCTGTCCAAAACAAGCGGCGGCCGCTGCTGGGGCAAGCGACGCCTGTCTCCATTGGGCAACGTCCGCGCGGCGACACCGGCACCGGCTCCCGCACCCTCCCCGTCCCCCCCCTCCTCCTCCTCCTCCTCCTCCTCCTGCTCCTGCATCGCCACTGCGATTGCGAATGCTGGAGAGAGGTGCTGACGCTTCCGAAGGAGATCGCGGACCTCAGGAAGCGGAGCCACCTGCCCGAGGTCACCCTGCTGTTGGAACGGTGCCTGTGGCCGACGCCGCCTGGGCTACGCAAGCCACGGGCCAGTGACCTGGTGTGCTGGCGCGGCGACCACGACGGCGGGCTCCTCCCTGGTGGCGAGTTCTTCCTCGACGGCTCCGCGTTCGAGGCCGACTTCGACGAGTTCGCATCGGTCGGCTGGAGCGTGGTCGCCTTGCAGCCCGATGCCGATTGCTACCTGGCCTCCGTTGCTGGGCAGTTGTGCGGCGCCTACGTCGACATCAACGGGGGCGAGCTCATGGCGGTGATCATGGCGCTGCGGTTCAGCATGGGCGTGGTCACGCTGGTGGTCGACTCGAAGTACGTGTACGACGGCTTCTACAAGGCGGGTCGCACGAACACCGCCGCCTACGCGTACTCCTGGGCGCACCTGTGGCGGCTGGCGTGGGCCCTGGTGGACGACAGAGGAGGGCTTGGTCGTGCAGTGCACCTCCGATGGGTCCCTGCCCACCGCACCAGGAGGCAGGTCGTGGACGGCGCCATCAGCTACCGCGACTGGAAGGGCAACTCGTACGCCGACGCAGCCGCGAAGGCGGCGGCTGCCCAGGGCCGTGCCTCGGCCGCCGATCGCCGCAAGCTGCACCTGGCTCGGCAGCAGGTGGACTTGGTGGCCATGTGGTGCACTGCGGTCGGCACATGGGTGGATGGCAGCGACACCACCCATCGCAAGGAGCGGCCGAAGAGGGCGGTTCGGCGGCGCCGTGAAGCCTCCGCGTGGCTGAGCTGCAGCTGGCGCGGGAAGGGCAAGGACAGATGGTGTGAGGTCTGCAGGTGGACCAACCGCGCTGGCGAGTGCCCTGGCAGCATCCTGGAGGACGCGGTGAAGGCCAACGAGCTGCTGGTGCAGAAGGGGCTCGCGGCGCACGACCTGGTCGCCATCGCTCCTGTGCTGGACAGCGAGCTGGAGCGGAGGCTGCCGTTGGTCGCATGCACCAGGTGCGGGTTCACTGGAGCCGCTCGCGCCTGCAGCTTCGGGCTGGAGTGCAAGACGCCGCCCTCGGCCGCGGGCAGCGCGGCTATCGCGCGCCTGCGTGCTGGGCTCGCGCCCAGGATCGCGAGCGAGGTTGCCGTCACGCTGCGGCGCCTTGGCGGTGGCGAGCCGACGGCAGCAGCAGAGGAGGTGGGCGCTGGCCCCGCCCCTCCTCCCGCCGAGCCCATCAGTGGGAGCCCCGTCGCTCGTGGCGAGGACGGTGGCCAGAGCGTGCCACCTAGGAGAGGTGAGGACTGGGGCTCTGAGGCGGCGGAGGGCGTCAGAGGCGGCGACGGCGCTGGAGGTGAGGACTGGTGCGCCGCTGGAGCAGCTGCAGAGGCCGCGGCGACCCCCACGACCCCTGGGGAGGGCGAGGCCGATGGGGAAGGCCGACGGGACGCCAGCGGCCCAAGAGGGGTGGAAGGGCCGCCAGCGCGGCGCCACCAGGGGCCTCCGCCGCGGGCTCACCGCCCTGCGGGCGGGGGCGAGGACGAGGGCGCGGACTCTGCTGAGGCGGCAGAGAGCGGCCCAAGAGGGGTGGAAGAGCCGCCAGTGCGGCGCCACCAGGGGCCCCTGCCGCGGGCTCACCGCCCTGCTGGCGGGGGCGAGGAGGGAGAGGGAGCGGCCGCGGGCTCTGCGGAGGCGGCGGAGGCAGCGCGGCGGAGCTCCGTGGTCGCCTCGCTCCTGGCCGCCTACCGCCGCGGCTGTGACGCGGCGGGGCTGAGCGACGGCGCTGCTGCGCGTACGCCCCGCACTGGAGGCCCCCAGGGGGCCAAGCCAGGCGGGGCTGCTGGACTCGCCTCGGACCCTGGCGGCGGGGGGCCCCGTGTGGCCTCCGTGGCTCCCGTGCCTGTGGGTGCCGCCAGGCCCGAGGGCCTGGGGTGAGTGCGGCCGTCTAGGACCCCGCTTGCGGGGTGCTAGGGGCGGTCGCACTCACGCGGCGGGGGGGCCTCGTCGCCACTGCGGCCTCGCGTGGGGCGCGAGGTCGCGCTCGGGGCGGTCCTGGCTCGACTGGACCGCTCTATGCCGCGCCGATCCTCCTCCTGCTCCTCCTCCTCCTGCTCCTCCTCCTCCTCCTCCTCGAATTGTCGCAAAATCGTCCCCAGACTATTTGTTTGACTATCTTTTGGTACTCCTCCTGTAGAGGGGCATGCTTGACTTGACCCTGGACTTCTTCTGGAATTCATCCCGAGCCTACTTTCGAGGCAGATCCGGCCGTGGCGACGAGAAGCCTCCCGGAGGCTCAGCAAGGACGAACAACGCCAGCGCGGGACGCCGTTGTTTCGACTGGCCCTCCACCGATCCTGAGTCCTCAAACACCACGGGGTGGGTGTGGTATTGCTGTTCGTGTGTATGTGTGTGTGTGTGTGTGTTGACGTGTCATTGTGGCATCCATCGCCTGCTCTGCTCGAGATCGAAAACTCAGTCTGCCCAACAAGCGCCGGCCAGCGGTCAGTCTCGTATTGCGTTCATGCGATCGCAACGGGCCATGCTGACACAACCCTCGGCGCGACACGCTATCCACTTCCCGGCCCCCAAGCGTCCATGTCCCGAGCTTTTCCCAGCCTCCCGCCCCGCGGCGCGGGTGCAACACGCTGTCCACCTGCAAGAAATAGCGTGCCGCCGTGACCGCCGCGGCGACACGCCCCAGAGGGTGTTCGTGCGATCGCAACGGGCCATACTGACAGAACCCTCGTCGTCAGCCATTCGTTGATTGATTCGATCGCGCCAGTCCCCTGATCTCCGGGCCAGTCTCGTTCTGGGCCCCATCCCAAGAGGCCCGCTCGCAGATTTTTGGGGGCTTCGTGCCGTAGCTCCGCCGGCGCGCTCGGAGTGTGCAGCAACACTCCTCGAGAGCTCGTGCTGAGCATACGCCACGCTCACCTGAGCAGGACTTCCCTCTCGCACATTTGGTCTGCTCCGCTCCGATCCTCCCCCTCCTCCTCCCCCTCACCCTTCTCCACCTCCTCCTCTCCTCCTCCTCCTCCTCCTCCTCCTCCTCCTCCTCCTCCTGCTCCTGCTCCTGCTCCTGCTCCTGCTCCTGCTCCTGCTCCTGCTCCTCCTTCTCCTCCACCTCCTCCTCCTCCTCCTGCTCCTGCTCCTGCTCCTGCTCCTTCTCCTCCACCTCCTCTCTCCTCCTGCTCCCCCTCCCCTCCTCCTCCTCCTCCTACTCCGTCCTCCCATCCTCCTCCTCCTCTCCTCCTCCTCCCTCCTCCTCCTCCTCCTCTCCTCCTCCCCTCCTCCTCCTCCTCCTCCTCCTCCTCCCTCTCGCGCAGGTGAACCGCTCCGCTCCGCTCACCCTCCGCTTTTGCCCTGGGGGCCCTCCTGGTTGCAGCGGCACCCCTCGCGGCACGGCCCCGGCGGGTTGCACGTGCCCTGCGAGATGTATCGTGGCGCCTGCAGGTCGGCGCCGGGCGCGCGCCCGGGGGCCCAGCCGCCTCGCGCCACGGTGGAGGCGGACGGCGGACGGCGGCGACAACGACGGCGACGGCGACGGCGGCAGCGACGCAGCGGCGACGGCGGCGCTGACGACGAGGGCGGCGGCGACGGCGGCGGTGACGACGAGGACGAGGAGGAGGGCGAGGGGGAGGCGGCGGGGGGGCAGGCCGGGCGTGCTCGCGCCACACCTGGCACTGGCATGCCTGCGCCTCCCGCCCATCCATTCCCCTTGCTTCGGGATCATTTCCTGTCCGCCAGGTGAGGCCTCCTGGAGGGCATTGATCCCCAAACTCGAGTTGCAGGATTAGATCAGTCGCCTGCGGTGCAGTCGAGCAGTTGGGATTTTGTGCGTTTGAGGATTTGGATGGGCAGGATGAGGATGAGGAACGAGGAGGAGTAAAAGAGGTGGAGGAGGAGGAGGAGGAGGAGGAGGAGGAGGAAGAGGAGGAGAAAGAGGAGGACCATGGGCATCAGGGGAATGCGGAGGGGAACCGATGGGGAAGGCAATGACGAGAACGGACTCGGACCCAGAGGTGTGGCCCGTGCTGGGGCGAGAGCGCCATCGGAAGCTGAGCACCAATCTTGAGATGACGCTCCGAAAAATGCAGCACACATGACAGACAACTCCATGGTGTATTCCAGCGTGTTGGAAAAACAGTGCGCGAGAGAGGTCGGAGCACCGCTCCACATGGTCGGGCGATGTAGGAGAGCAGCATGCCTGATTACACCAGCTGTGGAGTGGGCGGAATGCAGGGGGCGAAGGTGGGGACGGGGAGCGGGTAGGAGGAGGAGGAGGAGGAGGTGCTAGGAGGAGGAGGAGGAGGAGGAGGAGGAGGAGGAGGAGGAGGAGGAGGAGGAGGAGGAGGAGTGAGGAGTGAGGAGGAGGAGGTATGCGGTGAGGAGGATGATGATGAGGAGGAGGGTCATGAGAAGGAAGAAAAACAGGGGGAGGGATGGTCGGATGAGGAGCGGGAGGGGATGATGAGTATGACGAGGGGAAGGTGACATCCTCCCAATTCTGGTTCTGCCATCGAGAAGAAGGGCGGGAACACCACGACATGCCAACCAACGAGCGGAAATGCTCGGAGCAAATGTCCAAACACAGGTGCCGGAGAGAAGGCGTGGGAAACCACTCAATGCGTTCCTGCGTTGGGCCTCGCCTGCATTCAGCTGGTATCATAAGGATACGCAGTGAGGATGCAAGGGCCTGTGACGACAAGGTACTCTTTTCCGAACGAGGTTGGCCAACGAAAGTGGCCAAGGATGGACCGAGCAGGCAAGGATGCACGGCTACTCTTGGGAAGTTTGCTGATTCTTCTTATGCGGGTTGACCGTAGCAGGTCTGCACCGTTGTGTGGGGAGCCCCCGGCGGCTGGGTGGTTGCGGGGGGGGCGGGCCCCACCCGCCGACTCCCGAACGGCGCAGCATGCAGCGCGGAGGGCCACGCAGAGTCGAGCTGCCGAAAGAAGGAACGCTGCATCAGAAACGAGGCCCGACATCGATAACGATAACAACGATCACAATGATAGCGATAACGGCAACGATTCGGACAACGGTAACAACGATAACGATCACAACGATCACACTGGTCACAACGACAACAACGAAAAAAACTATAACGACGATCACAACGATGAGCCCCTTTGTCCGGAAGAGCCCAGGTGCACGAGGAGGGCCAGGGGAACCAGCCGACATGACTTAGAATGAGCAACGCGAGCCCCTTCCGAACCCAAAGCGGCCCTCACATCGGCGTCTTGACTGCAAGGCTGCCTGCGGGCGCCATGAAGAGGTGGAGAATGAGGAAGGTAGCGACGAAACTTTGGCCAGCCTGAACTCGGGCAGCTGAGTTCGGCCAGACTGAACTCGGCCGGCTGTTCTTGGCCAAGCCGAGCTCGGCCAAGCCGAATTCGACCCAGGGCGAGTTCAGCTGGCCAAATTCGGCCTGGCCGAATTTCGCCTGGCCAGATCCTACCCTTGTCGGAGGAAGCCCTCTCGGGACCTTCCAGCATCCGCTCGCCATCCTGCGGGGATTTACGTGCGGGGGCCGCGGCGGCCGTCCTCGGATCCGGCCCCCGCCAGCTGCTCCAATTCGGCGCACGCTCGCCTTGCACCCCTGTTAGAGGGGCCCAGGGTGACACAACCGAGCAGACACAGTTCAATCTTGTTTTCGGTTTCCGTCTTCGTTGCCCCCATTTCCAGTATTGCACCACGTGTTATAGGAGATACAACAACAACACCACCGCCACCACCACCACCACCACCAACAGCAACAGCAACAACAACAACAATACCACCACCACCAACAACAACAGCAACAGCAACAACAACAACAACAACAACACTAACAACAACAATCATATTCCTCACTACGGATCTTCCCTTCAGCCACACACCCAAGGACAATGAATTACCGTTCGACCCCTCACTCTGACGTTTCTGGGTGTCTGTCAATTTTTCCCTCCCGACCCGTTTCTCCCTGGCATGGGCTCATCCATCACGCCCTGTCGAGCGTTCGAGCGAGGGAGAGGATCGGGTCGGGTCGGGGATCGAGTCGGGTAGGGGAGGATTGAACGATCGAGGATCGGGTCGGGCGTGTGGACCTGGGGATCGTACCGGGAGGGTTGGCGAAGCACCTCACGCAGCCGGTTTCTGCGCCGCTCCCCAGCGCCGCGGGCGCCGGTGTGTCGGGGAGACGGTGCCTGCTGGCGGGGCCGAAGCCAGCTGCAGACAGCAGATGTCGTACCCATCCCTTTCCGTATGCTCCCATCGACTTGAGGACCACATCCCAGAAATCATTCCGAGCACCAAAAAACGTGTCGCGAGAGCGTCGCAAGAGTGTCGAACCAGTGTCGGACGAGTGTCTCCCGGGGCCCGACGCGTGAAAACCCGCGGGCTTGGGGGTGCTTCTCTGGTGCTCGAAAGTCTTCCTGGTGGTCAAGGCTAAAAGTAGGTTGGAGCATCACAGCCCTTCCCATGGGGGTCACCCGAAGCATGCGGTGATAGACTGTGCGGTGACCTTGGGATCCCCGCCCCACCGCACGGCCCGCCACCGCACAGAGCCAGCGGACCCCTTGGGGGCCCCCGGCCGCCCGAGGCCTCCTAGCTCGGGGAGCGGCGCCCGGAGCCCCGGGCCGCGCGGGGTCGCTCTGGATCTCCACGGGCTCCGGCGCAGAGCGCCCCTGTGAGCCCTGCCCGCCGAAGGCAGCTGATTACTGTGCGCGGCCCCCTCGTCCAGGGTGGCTTGGCGGGCCTCGGCAAGACCCTGTCACCCAGAGGGCGCTGTGGGTCATCGATCTGTCACCACACGGTGTGGTCACCGCGCCGTTTGCCCCCCCCCCCCCCCCCCCCCCGCCCCCCCCCCCACCTCGACTTTCCCTGCACTCGCTTGGCTGGCTCGAAGAGCCCTGGGCCAAAAACCTTGCCATATCTTGAGGGGAGGAGCAGGCTTTTCCTTCCGCCGCCCTCCGCCGCCCTTCGCCGAAGAGGACATGCCAACTCCTGCGACCCTTGCTTGCATGCCTCACTCCGTCCCCCACGTCGTGATTTTTTCACAACGTCGACCCCCAGAGGTCTGAACCCCTTCCCCCGGACCGGTTTTTCATCCTGAGTCGTTTTTTGACGGTCCCGAGGCCCAGCGAGGACCCCCAGAGGCCGAAAAAAGCAACGAGTATCCCGTCGTTTTTTGGTTGGGGGGGTATTTTTGGTGTTTTTCTTGCATTCCCCCCCCCCCCCCCCCCCCCCCCCCCCCCCCCCCCCCTCCACAGCGCGAGGAAGTCTGGGTTTTTCGATCGACCCGGCAGGACGGCCGTCTTGGAGCCGTCTTGGGAGCGTATTGGGCCGTCTTGGGGCGGTCTTGCATGCTTTTTGGGCTGTCTTGGAGCGTCGGGAAGCCGAAAGGGCGGGAACGCTGAAATGTTTGAAACGCCAACGGAAAATCAATGGTTTTGGCTCCTTGGGCCCGGACTCGGGCTCGCGGCCGTGGCGGCGGGCCCCCGCGGGCGGAGGCAGAGGAGCGGCGCCCGCCGTCTTCGCCCAGCCACACCAAGGGGTCCAGCGGCCCGGGCGGGAGCCCTCCGAACCTGAGCGGCGCACGGCGCGCGCTCCCAGGGAGGACGGGGGAGGAGGGGGAGGACGAGGAGGAGCAGGAGGGGGAGGAGAAGATGGAGGAGGAGGAGGAGGAGGAGGAGGAGGAGGAGGAGGAGGAGGAGGAGGAGGAGGAGGAGGAGGAGGGGAGGAGGAGGGGGAGGCTGAGGAGGATGAGGGGAGGAGGAGGAGGAGGAGGAGGAGGAGGAGGAGGAGGAGGAGGAGGAGGAGGAAGAGGAAGAGAAGGAGGAGGAAGAGGAGGAGGAGGAGGAGGAAGAGGAGGAGAAGGAAGAGGAGGAGGAGCAGGAGGAGGGGGAGGAGGAGGAGGAGGAGGGGGAGAAGGAGAAGGAGGAGGGAGAGGAGGAGGACAAGGAGGAGGAGGAGGACTCTGAACGGGGGGATTGCGTCGCGCTTGCGCGCGGCAGATTGTTTTGAAAGAACAATTGAAAACGCACCCTTTTCTACCACCCCGTTTACAAACACCCCGTTTGCAGGGGCTTGGTCTTCGTCGTCGTCGTCGCTTTCGTCTTCGTCACCGGCTTCGTCTGCGTCGTTGCCGTCCTCCCCTCAGTTGACTCGACCCGCTGCGGGCGTCCAGGTTGATCTCAACGCTGGTCCCCCCCTTTGAACGGCCTTCGCCGCTTGGGGGGCGGACCTCCTCCAAACAATCCGTTGTCTGCGCCGTTCGCTGGCGCCCTTGCGCGGCTGCGGGGCGCAACCGCGCCGAGGAAGGGAAGGGGAAAGAGTTGGGGCCCCATCCGGCCAATCCCACAAGCCCGAAGCAAAAGAGGTGGTCAATGGACGAAGAGAAAGGGTGCAGCGCGTCCGTCCGTGCCACTCACATCGTGCGTGCTATTCGGAACGTCGCACCTTGTATGCAGCGTAGTATATGTAGTACTCTTGTCCGTGGTGCAGTTGACGGCATAACGTTGCTGGTCACTTTATAAGGGCATGTACGTTGTATGGGCGTACTGTGGTACATCTTGAGAGTCGAGACAACGACAACGCTCCAGATAAGGGAGAGAAGTGCCGATGCGGTTGAAGGTTGGCGGTCTCACCTTGTTTTTGTGTTTACCAGCGACTGAAATATTAAGCGACGTTCTCCCTGTCCCCGTGCCGCGGTGGATTGCGCCTTGGGCTTGATGGGGGCGTTGGGCTGCAGCACCGTGAATCTGCCAGCGGATTAGTAACGTCTGTTCGCCGCTGATTTCCGGCACCGACCAATTCTGGATCGTGCGGTGGCAGTACGACGCAGTCGTAATAATATTTGCCTTACTTGCTCTGGAATTCCACCAGCAACGATCGGTGTTTCCCTTCCTCGGTGATCTCGTGCCCCTCGCAGTTCAGCTCGTCGCCCTGGTAGCGCCACGGGAGGCTCTCGTAATTGTGTTTGCGGCCCGCGTGGCTCAGGTTGGTGCCCTCGTCGCTCAACAAATGGCCCTCGTCGATGGGGATTGGTCGCTCTCGAGGTTCTGCTCCTCTCGTCACCCGGGTAGATTCGCGGGAAGCTCTAATAGGTCTAAAAATGACCCGCGCAGCTCATGTTGAGGCCCCCGTAGCATCCCAGGCGGCCCTCGTAGCTGGGCTGGTGGCTCCCGAAGGTATGCTCGTGGCCCTTGCAATGCAGCTCAGCGCCCTAGTGGCTGTGCAGGAGGCTCCCGTGATTCTCCTTGTGGCCCGCGTAGCTCAGGTTGTGGCCCTCGTAGCTCCTCAGGCGGCCCTCGTAGCTGAACTCGTAGCTCAAGAAACTCTGCTCGTGGCCTTTGCAATGCATCAACTCGTCGTCCAAGTAGCTATGCGGGAGGTTCCCGTGATTCCGCTTGTGGCCCGGGTAGCTCAGGCTGTGGCCCCCGAAGCTCAGTAGGGGTAACCCTCGTAGCTGGGCTACTGGCTCTCGAATGCCTGCTGGTGGACCTTCCAGTACAGCTCGCAGCCCTGGTAGCTCTGCTGGTGGCTAGAATAATTGTACATGTGGTACCCGGAGAAGCTTATGGTCCTAGAAGGTCAGCTGGTGGCCATGGTCGCGCTGCTGGTGCCTTTAGTAGGTTTGCGTGTTGCCTACGACGCACAGTTGGTGCCTCCGGCAGCAGCTGGTGGTCCTTGTAGCTCTGCTTACGGCCCTCGCAGCTCAGCTGCTGGCCATCGTGGCTCAGCTGGTGGTCCTCGTCGCCCTGCTTGCGGTCCGCGTAACCCTGCTAGTGGCCATCGTGGCTCAACTGGTGGCCCTCATGTTTCAGCTGGTGGTCCTCGTAGCCCTGCTTGTGGCCATCGCGGCTAAGTTTGCAGCCGTGGTTCAGCCGGTGGTCCTCGTAGCCTTGCTTGTGGCCCTCGTAGCTGGGCTTGCGGTCCTCGCAGCTCTGGCGGTGGCTCTCGTAGTTGTGACTATCGTCCTCGTAGCTCAGCTTGTGGTCCTCGAAGTTCTGCTGGTGGCCACGCTGAGCTCAGGTTGTGAGGCTAGTAGCTTTGCGGGTGGACCTTTGGCTCTGCCGGTGGCTGCCGAAGCTATTCTCGTGGCCCTCGTAGCTGAACTGGTAGCCCCGATCGATCACCTGGTTGTCCTCGTAGCCTCTGCTCGTGGTCCTTGTAGCTCGGCTGGCGGCCGTCGTGGTTCAACTGGTGGTCCTCGTAGCCCTGCTTGTGGCTTTCTTGTTGCCCTCGTAGCACGGCTGGTTGTCCTTGAGGTTCTCCTGGCGGTCCTCGTAGCTCTGCTGGTCCTCGGATCTCCGCTGGTCTTCCCTTCGGAGCTTTGATGCCTTCCTGGTGCTTGCGCGGCCCAGGAGGCAGTCGAAGAGCACGTCCACCCGAGCGTTCTTCTGCTCGTCGGGGTCCTGCACGCTGTGTTCGTTGCCAACGACCACCACGTTTGCCTCGACGTTGTCCACGCGGTTCGAGCCGGAGTCCTCGGCTGCCAAATCGTGGTGGTCGACGTTCCGGGCGCCAGTGCCGGTCGCAGGAGATCGTGCTGGTCTCGCGCAGGTGGCTCGGCAGGTGGCCCTGGTGCCGCAGCTGGTGGTCCTCGACGCTCAAGCGATGGTGCTGGAAGCTCTGCTGGTGGCCCTCGGCGGCACCGCTGGTCGTTTTCGAAGCGCTGCTGGTGGCCCTCGTTGCACAGAAGGTGATTCTCGGAGCTTTGCTTCTTGCCCCTCGTGTATCTCTGCTGGTGGCTCTCGTTGCGTAGCAGGTTGCCCTGGTAGCTCCGCATGTGGTTCTCGTAGCTCTGCTTGGGGCCCTCGTAGCTCTGGTGGCGAGGTGAGGAGACCGCACGTGGCGTATTCGTAGTAGCCGTTCTATTCGCCGCGCCCGTTGTAGGCGTCGTAGTCGCAGTCGGCGTGAACGGCGTAGCCGTGGTCCACCAATATCCCCACGACGTGCCTGGTGTCATACCTTTTGTTGTCGTTCTTTGTGTCGTACTTGTTGTCGCGCTTCGCGTCGTACTTGCTGTCGTGCCTCGACGCCCTCGCGAGGGCGGCCATGGCAATGATCATGAGATCGTCGGATCGAGGTTGTACCCTATGTCGGACGTTGTGCAACACTCGTTTTTGGGCAGCGTCTGTTCGCGCCCGTGCTCCTCTATGCGTGTATGGTATCCGCATACTGGCCGGTAGGTCTCCACCAAAGTCGGTAGGTAAGTTATCCCCTGAATGATGTTGAAGGTGTACAACCTGTAATTCAACAGCTGTTGGTTGCGGCTGTAGCCGCGGTTAATCACCCTCTCCCGGATGTTCGCCAGCTGGTGGATGCTGTTGTGGTCGCGGTTGATCACCTTTTCGTGGTACGCGCGCCGCCCGCTTCCGATGGCGCGACGGCGCGCTGAGGCCGCCCCCCCCCCCCCCCGAGGGCGGCCGCGCGGGCGGGGCTTGGCGCCGGGGGCGAGAGCGGAGGACAGAGTTCCCGCAGACCGCTTTTCCTGCCACCACTCTTGGCTCCTCCTGCCTGCCCCGCCCTGCCTGCTCCTCCTCCCCTCCTCTCTTGCCCTCCTCCCCTCCTCTCTCGCCCTCCTCCCTGCAGGTCCGCGCGGAGTGCTTGGACCCGCGCTGGGCACCCCTCCCTGGCGCGCGGGGCACGCCAGGTGCGGCGTCGGAGCGGAGGCGCCGCCAGGGGGTTCCCGCGCAGATTTTGGACGCCCGAAATGGGCACGGAAAGAATTGACTACCTACCAGACCACCCCAACCCAACCCGAAGACCCGAATTTCGGGTTGGGGGGGGTACGGGTTCCATATGTGTTTTCTCGATGTTCCCCCACCCCACCCAACTGGAAATGGAGGGCAAATTGAGGCCTTCGGGTTGGGTTGGGGTGGTTTGGTGGGTGGTGAAGAATGGGTACAATGCCCAACGGCACATGTTGTCCCGAACCAAGAGCGGCCGCTGTTGGGCAGGCGGCCTTCTGTCTCAAAGGCCGCGGCGGCGCGGACAGCGAGTCCTGTTCAAAACGGACAAGATCCGCTGTCGGGCATTGTGCCCATTCTTTCCGTGCCCATGTCGTTCGTGCAGACAGATCCAGAAAATCCGCGCGGAGCTCCGAAGATTAGCCGGCGGCGCGCCCGGGGGGGCGTGAGGAGGAGGCCTCTTCGGAAGGCGGTCGGACTCTGAACCCCTGCAGAAAACTCCTCGGAGGCAGCAGGGCCCCCGCGCATCTGCGAAGGCCCGCCCCATCTCACCTCCCCCCCTGGGCTGTCAGCCGATTCTGTTTATGTCGTTTCTCTTTTTCGAGCCATTTCCAGACATCCGCCGATCTGACTTCCCGCGGGTAGTTTGTCGTCCCGGCTCCGTGTTTCCCAACATGTTTCGTGTGGTTTGGGTTTTCTCCCCTGAACACACACATTCACTCATTCCTCCCTCCTCCCTCCTCCCCTGCTCTCCCTTCCTCCTCCCTACAGACACACACACACACAGACGCACACACAAGCACAAACACACACAACAAACACACCACACAACACACAACACACAACACACAACACACATCTCACAGCACACACCACACAACCGAAACACA